GAGGAAGGCCAGAGCAGGGGGCGAAGGCGAATAAATAGAGAGTATAGAGATGAAGCTTCTCCCGGGCAACGGTTACCGTGAGCACCAACCACGCTAATCCCGATCGGGACATGGTATGTCAGCAACTTTGGATCCGCCTCTTACGCCTTCCCGATCAAGATTTTCGCCCATGACGGAACCAAACGGTGATGGTCGCTTTGTGAGCCTCCCCTTAACAATGTGGGGGTGTCCCGTCCATATTTTCCTACATTGATTATTGATTGATGGCGCACTCTCCTTCTACATCCTCTCCTCCTTCCACCCCCCACCGCACCGCCTTATCCTTCTCGCAGGTCCACACCGACCCACTCGCTGGACTATCTTCCGCCCGAGCGGGATCTTCCACCACCGCCTCCATCCTCTCTGGCTGGAGCCCCTCGATGGCCTCTCGGATGGAACAAGACGCATACCTGATGCCGGCCAGCCCGGCTGGTGGTCGCCGGGCCAGCGCGGACTATCGCCCAAGCATCAGGAAGGCCCAGGGTCATGTTCCCGCATGCCTGGTGAATGCCTCAGTAACGTACTGCAGCAATGATCAGATCTATGCCTTTGGAGGGTTCGATCAGTACACCGACGAAGGTTGGTCTCCAGTGTTTCTACTGCGGAAACCGGTCCGCTGCTAATGAGCCTCCATTTATAGTCTACAATCATGTTCTCAAATTGGACTTGAACGCTCTGCGATGGGAACTGGTCGACAACTACGGCGACATTCCAGGAGTGCGAATGGGTAGGCCAGCCCCACTCTTCTGGCATTCAATCGATAGAACTGACTCTGTGCTTCTCCAGGTCATACGGCGACGCTGTACCAAGGTGACAAGCTGATCGTATTCGGAGGAGAAAATGAGCATCGCGAATACCTCTCCGACGTGGTCATCCTCGACCTCAACACATCCACCTGGGCCCAGCCGGACATTCGTGGGTCCATCCCTCGGGGACGGGCACGCCATGCAGCGGTGATCCACGATGACAAGCTGTTCATCGTGGGCGGAGTGACTGGCGAGAACAATGTCATCCTAGACGACCTGACCTATCTGGATCTGACCACTTGGACCTGGTCTCGGACATGGAGTTTCACCGCTCGATTCGACCACACGGCGTGGGTTTGGGGCAATCGCCTCTGGATCTTCGGCGGACTGGGACCGAACATGGAGCGGACAACCGATATCTACTGGCTCGACCTCAAAGGATCCCCGTCTCTGTCTGGAATCAACAGTTCCCAAGGTACCGTGGACTCCTTCGACGCAGCAAACAACGTTACTCATAGCGCAGGCTCCCTTTCTAGTCCATCGCAGTCATTGACCGGCCGCGCGGGAAGCTATGCCGCCAATTCTGGCAGCGTTCAAGTGCGCAGCATTGGTCGCCGCAAGCCCATTGCTCCCGGGTCCATCTCGTGTCTTCGATTCCAGTCAGGGCCTCACGTACCTGCCCTGTTCTCAGGTACTCACTTCCAGTCCTATGCATCGGGGGTTCTTCTCGATTTGATCACACCGTCGGAAACCGTCCGGTCGCATGACTGCAATCTGTCGGCCTTGGAACTTAACTCCCTGCGGTGGCAGAGGCTGGCCGATGGACAAGAGATCTTCCGCCCCGGTTACCGGTGGCACTATTGTACCGTCAATGAGAGCGGGACCAAGGCGTGGTTGCTGGGATGCAGCCTTGACATTGGGAATGCGCCCGGGGGCGGTGATGATAATCACATGAGCGAGGTACTTTCCATCGACTTGGAGAAGTATGGACTGCTAGGCAACGACTTGTCGGCAGAACCCCCCGAGAAGGATGCTTCTTGGCAATCCGATCCCTCTGGATCCTCATCACTATCTGGGCTGGGAGCTGACCTCTCTGCCGTCTTCGACCAACCTCCTGAGGCAGGAAGCGGCACTGATTTTGTCATCACTGCCGTCCGCGATGATCATGACGGTTTCTGTTCGGATGATATGGCCGATACCCCGTCCCCCTCCCCATCTCGTGTTCAGCCGACCTTTGTCGAACCTGGTCCCTCCACATCTGCCCCCATCCATGTCCACAAGATCATCCTGCAGCTGCGGTGGCCGCACTTCAAACGGCTGTATTCTGCACAGATGGCGGAGTATCACACGAAGCGGATGCACATCCCTGAGCCTTACTCGGTTGTGCGCGCCTTCTTGTACTACCTCTACACAGACAGCATTGCCGGACACCCGGAATACTGCTCCGACGTTGTCGACGTGGCTGGAATGTTGGTCATGGCCAACCTCTACGACATGCCGAAACTCCGCCTCCTGTGTGTCAACCGGCTGAGTCGCGAGATCGACGTTGAGAATGCCGCGATTGTCTGGGAGCGCGCAGGGCGGACGAATGAGCAGTGGCTGATGCGCCGAGCCGCCCAATTCTGTCTGACACACTGGGGTCGTGTGGTGCGGACAGACGGCTTCAAGTCCCTGAGCCACCAGAGCTTGATCCAACTGTGCGAGGTGGTGGACACGGAGGGCCGCATCATTGCGGGCCCAGAACTGGAGATGGCGGAGGGCCTGGGTGACCGAGATGTGAAACGCTCGCAGTTACGTCTGGGGTCTGCGACGGATGATCTGGACGAGTTGGACGACGAAGAAGGAATGGAACTCTCATGAATCGACGAATTGATCACGCATAGACCGGAGTTGGACAAGGGCTGGGGTGTCTTGGCAGGATTTACCAACCATCTTAGAGCTATAGGCTGTTACTTTTTTGATCTTGGGAGTTTGTCATTATCATCTAGAATGCGCTTTTTTTTAACCGTATCATTTTCCTTATCGGTTCGGAATCCGGCCCGTCCAGAGCGGATCCCCGCCAGGCTGTGCCCCTCGACCCATCTGGTTAACTCCCCGGTGGTGGAGCCGCGCAACGCTCTCGACGCGGCGTCTGCTCCGGATCGCGGAGAGAGGTCCTGTCACGATCAGGAAGCTCTTGAACTTGCTCATCCACCCAGCCCTAAGGGGCAACGGTCGTTCCACAAAAGGAAAGGAGACAATGAAGTATAAATAATCGCGGACCGCTGGGAAAATGTTTCGTGTCTACAGCGAAGCGCTACTCAATCAGCACCATGGGCTCCATACCCCAATCTAGTCTTCCGTCTGACTTTGTCTGGGGCTTTGCGACAGCTAGTTATCAGATTGAAGGCGCCGCGAATGAAGATGGTCGCCTACCTTCCATCTGGGATACATTCTCGAAAATCCCCGGCAAGGTCGCAGGCGGCGGGACCGGCGAGGTGGCCTGCGATTCGTACCATCGCACTCACGAGGATATTGAACTGTTGAAGACTTGTGGTGCGAAGGCGTATCGGTTTTCACTGTCATGGTACACTTCCACTCTGGCTTTGGTCAATTGGAAATAAAAACAGTTGCTGATCCGGTTTAACAATTAGGTCACGAATCATCCCCCTCGGAGGCCGCAACGACCCCGTGAACGAAACAGGCCTGCAACATTACCAGACATTCATCGACGACTTGATCGCAGCCGGGATCACGCCAATGGTCACACTCTATCACTGGGATCTCCCCGATGAGCTAGAAAAGCGCTACGGCGGCCTGCTGAACAAGGACGAATTCGTTGCTGATTATGCGCGCTACGCTCGCGTGGTGTTCGAAGCCTTCGGTTCGAAAGTCAAGCACTGGGTTACCTTCAATGAGCCCTGGTGTAGCAGCGTGCTCGGTTATAACGTCGGCGCTCACGCCCCCGGCCGGACGAGTGATCGATCCAAGAACCCTGTCGGTGATGGCTCGACTGAGCCGTGGATCGTCGGGCATAATCTCCTCGTTGCGCATGGAGCTGCTGTGAAGATATATCGGGATGAGTTCAAGGCACGGGATGGTGGTGAGATTGGCATTACGCTAAATGGTAGGTGGAAAGAATATCCTTTTGAGAGTTGCGGCTAACTGATGCATGATATATAAAGGCGACTGGGCCGAGCCCTGGGACCCTGAAAACCCAGCTGACGTGGAAGCCTGCGACCGCAAGATCGAGTTCGCCATCTCCTGGTTCGGCGATCCCATCTACCACGGCAAATACCCCGACAGCATGATCAAGCAACTCGGCTCCCGCCTGCCGTCCTGGACACCCGAGGACCTAGCCCTCGTGCACGGCAGCAACGACTTCTACGGGATGAACCACTACTGTGCGAACTACATCCGCGCCGGAACAGGGGAGCCTGATCCCACTGATGTGGCCGGGAACTTGGAGCTGCTGCTCGAGGACAAAAACGGGCACAGCATTGGGCCCATCACCCAGTCGCCGTGGCTGCGGCCGTGCGCCATTGGGTTCCGCAAGCTGCTCAAGTGGCTCAGTGACCGCTACGGATATCCCAAGATCTATGTCACGGAGAACGGGACAAGTATCCTCGGCGAAAATGATTTGCCGATGGACCAGTTGCTCGAGGATGACTTCCGCGTGCAGTATTTCAAGGACTATATCGGGGCCATGGCTGATGCCTATACCCTGGACGGGGTCAATGTGCGGGCATATATGGCCTGGAGTTTGATGGAGTATGTGTTTTCTTCGCTTCCTTTCTGCTCTTGGATTTTACGGACTAGATGGCTGATCATGTATTCAAATAGTAACTTCGAATGGGCCGAGGGCTATGAGACTCGCTTTGGCGTCACCTATATCGACTATGAACACAACCAGAAGAGAGTTCCTAAGAAGAGCGCCAAGGCCATTGGACAGATCTTTGATAGGCTCATTGAGAAGAAGGCCTGAGGCATTCAGCGGCGTTAAATTTGGGCAATGTCATTTAACGGATGTGCAGGCTACTGAATGAATTTGGCAGTACCGAAATAGATGATCCATTTGTAAATTCATGGCCTAGAAACAACAACAGCCTCCCTAGCATGCCTCTTCAATGGTTCGAAGACAGACTCCCCCAAGGCAGATCCCCGACCAGAATTCCTCAACATCATCCATTAAAAAGCTGGATCCACCGAACTCCTGTGTAAAAACACGACAACCTCTTAAAGCAACTTGACGCAGTTCAGGAGGTCAAGGTTGATCCCATTGCCCTAAATGAGTGTTAGCTTCCGGCATATAACAAGGAAAAAAAAGAAACCAATCCTACCGATTCGGCATCAGTCTTGCAGCAATAAGCATTAGCACTGCAGGTATCGCCGATGACTTGAACAAGGCAGTTAGCGACGCCGTCACAGCAGACTTGCTTGTTGCCCGAGGAGCTGCATGAGGCGGCAGACATCGGTGCGGTCAGCGTGGTGGCTGCCACGAAAGGGATAGCCAGGAGAGCCAGAATGTAGTGCATGTTGGCGGGAGAGTGGTGAATTTGAGGTAAAAAGTGGTTTGGTATGATAGCAAATGTAGTGAACTTGGATAGATGGAAATGATGCAGACGAGACCGAAGGAGCTCTTTATAGCTAGGCGGGAATCCCATCCTATCTCCTAGATAACGAAGTCACAAATCACTCTTTGGCTGAGGAATGTTGATCTGTATGCTATGCGACGATCACCTCGGAGGATGACGTTGTGCCGAGCAAAATGACGGTAGCCTTCTTGAAGGAGAATTCCTTCGGCTCTATCTAGAGCTGGAGCGTATTCTAAATTCGTGACTGATCAGCCGGTCGAGGAGGTTTCGCGCCCTGGTTTCACTGGGTCTTGATTTCATAGGTCGGTCCCACGACAATCCATAGTCAGGTATGCAAGCAGGTCCCTGATGACTCTGGCTCTGGTGACGAGGAGCTGAATTCCTTAACTTTACACGCTTTGAATTAATTTCCGGTACATACCATATGCGGCATGACGTAGAAATTCTCAGACAGTTGACCATTTCATGTGGATATCTGCTTCTTGACTCATTGTGGGAGCATTTCTCATTGATTCAAGCTTAATTAACATTCAATGAAAAGCAATATACATCCTGTCAGAGTCTGGAGCCACTCTCGCTCTCACCATGCCCTTGTAATTCTTCACAGTTCCCCCTTCCTGATCTTCCGCGGGCATCGCGGACTTAGTCCAGCCATACTGCAGATAAATCACCCGAATATCCTCCGTGGTAGGCCATCTCTCTACCATTCTCTCTGTGGCTCTTGTATCGCTCGTGACACCTGTGCTCTCCCGCCGATCAAAAGGAATATCGTACTGCTCCCTCTCCCCCTTTTTGTTTATAGCCGACGAAGAGGTCCCAAGCATGAACCTGAAAGAGCAAAACGGATCCCGCGCCGACAGCACCCATTCGAACAGCATCCCCACTTGCAGACCAGGATCATGGGTTGGGTCAGGCCCTGTGCATTCTTTGTCGCGAAAACGAAAAGCAAAGATATATCCAGTAGTAAGCAAAGGCGGTTGGTGGGTCAGCATGCGACGCCAACTTGCGTCGGCACGGAGATAGATGTGCATCTCATCTGGACTCTTGAACAGATAGGGCAGAGTAATTGGAGGTCTCCATCATAAACGGTTGAAAAGACGGTATGTCGTTGGATGGAGCACAGAGGGAGGGTTGGAAGGAGAGATGGGAGACGAAATCCGGAAGGAAGAAAGAGAGAGAAACGAGAGATACGATGCTTGCCTGCAGCTTTGGTAGCAAATAGATACAGTGGCCGAGACACTGTCACCTGAGGCCGCGAGGAAAACAAGCCTTAACAGTAATTAAGGGGCAAAACATGCATTGATGTCGCTGAAGTTGCACCCACGATAACTGGAGAAATAGACAGTATACTATAATTTTTCCAAGTCATAGTCACAGCTTACGGTATCTTGTGGTGCACATATTCGGTCACAGAACTTAAGACTACGGAGGGAAGGAAAAACGAAGGGAGAGCTGCCGATGGAATCAGTCTGCCTTCTATACTCCAATTAATGCCTGGTTGATTAGGCATCAATATTGATCGTCCAGTGGAGTTGACGGGGATCTCACGACCCTCAGGCTGCAACCTTTGCCGTGCTGCACTCCCCGCACAGCCAGGAACTCATGCATCGATAACACGGGGAGATGTAGATGCGACATGTCCCTGGACCAGCCACGTCTTCCAACCAGCCGCCGCGTCGGGGCTTCCAAGTCGCGGTCCGGATGCAAAACCTGCAAGTAAGCCTATATCGGATGGCCCAAGATCGTTTCTCATCCAAAACTAAACCCAAACACAGAATTCGGAGAGTTAAGTGCGGAGAGGAGAAGCCAGTCTGTCTCCGCTGCTCATCCACTGGGCGCAGATGCGAGTATGACGGCGGAGACACATCTCCTTCGGCTCCCTTGACCCAGTCCTCTCTGATTGTAACCCGCACTCTGTCTTTGTCTCCGAATTCAGGACGGCGGGAGCGTCGCGCATTTGAGTACTATTTTCAGCATGCTGCGCAGTTTCTTGCCGGGGGAATGGATGTGGATTTTTGGACAAGCGTGGTCCCCCAGATCTGCCGCAGCGAGCCTGCTGTGTGGGACGCAATGATCTCCGTCAGCGCCCTGTTTGAAAGTCCAGCCCAGTGCCCAGACTTCACGTTTTTGAGACAGCAACAAAACGGCTCTCTCACACTCGCTCAGAACCAGAAAGATGCTTTGATATGGTACTCGCGTTCGATGTCTACCATTCACGAGCAGATTGAGCGCGGCACTGCAGACCCCTACATAGCCCTGATTAGCTGTGTGCTATTTATCAGCATAGAGATCGTCCAGGGGCGTTTGGAGGAAGCTCTCCAGCTCTACTGGCAGGGCGTGAGTCTCATTCAGGACCTACGGACCAATGCTCATTTTTCAGCATCTGCTACCAAGGCCGCTCTCCTCGAAAACACTATAATTCCTCTATTTATGCGTCTGAACACCATTGCCCTCACTATCTCTGGAACGCCGGCCAGCGAGATTCTCACATTTGCGGGAAGCCACATGGGCCAGGGATTTACCTCTCTGGACTCGGCTCGGCTAGCCATTGTCGCTCTCTCTGCAGAAGCAATGCTCTTCGAGCGCGAGACATACTTGCATATCGTGGCTGTCGCTAGTGATTCTCGAGTGCACCCTGAATTTCTTACTAGACAACAAAATCTCCAAGCTCGTCTCGATCACTGGCTCCACGCATACACCAACTTGATTCAGACCATCCATCGCGAACCTGCAACACCACCACGACCACCCACTACCACCGAACCCCTTCTTCTTATATATCATGCCTCTGCATCTATATTCGTGTCAACTTGCTTGACATGCAGTCCTCTTAGCTACGACGTCCATCTACCCACTTTCCAAATGATCGTCGAGCAAGCCAGCCTCATTCTCAGCACCTCGGCGGGACCTGACGGCTCTCAGCCTCCTTTTACGTTTGAAATGGGAGTTGGTCTTCCGCTTTACTTGACCGCATTGCGGTGCCGTGATCCGATCATTCGACGGAGAGCATTGCATCTGCTGCGCCAATCGCCAAAGGTCCAGTCTTTCTTCAAGTGTACGCCAGTTGCACTGTTAGCAGAGGCCATTATGAACCTAGAAGAGGAATACAGTGCGTCACTACGCATTACAGGCTCAACAGCTTATGATGATAGTTCGGCACCGCTATCAAGTCGTATTCCGGAGGAGGCTCGCATTATCACTGCTGGTGTCTTTAAACCACGAAATGGTCCCCCGCATGGCTTTCCCGCAGATATATTTGCGGAATGGCTTGAGGGTGAATTTCGAAACTGGAATCGGAGTTCGGATCGACTTGTCTTGAGATTTTGCAGGGGCAAGCACTACCCAGAGCACGACACTTGGCGCTTAACTTGGGAAAATGTGCCCATTTGGTAGTGAGCTAAACCAAGTTCATAAAGAAAGTCATGTCATGAACGGGTTCATTGAAACTGTAACGCGCGCAAAGATGTTCGCAGCGGTGACATTCTGCTGCATACCGCGCAAGCCACATGCCATTCACGATGGCTCGCTTCATATGGTCTGTCATATTGGTTATATATTCTTTAGGAAATCCTGCTATCATTGCCGCGATAATACGCTCCGTGCATACTGCAAATAAGTTATCAGCTTGCGTTGTCGGACGTCGATTGATAGCAGCGGACTCGAGCCCGCCGATGAGCGCCGGCCCGGAGGAGACTAAAACTATCCTTGAACTACTTACATTGAAGTCTATAAGGTTTAAACTTGCATACGAATTTCAGTGAAATAATTTTAAGTCCCTGTCCATCGGTACCCCTCATACATAGATCGTGGCGGTCTCCACTCCAGGGCTTAGTAACTTGTATGACCAGCCCCCGGAACAGACCAGCGGCGGACACCAGCGGACAAAAGTCCGCCGACGATCACCGGTCCACCTCGGTCCCAGGTCGGGGGAACTGAGCTGGCGAGAAGCTGCTATAAGACTTGCACGAACACTCAACCCTGTCTTGGAAGCCCACGTCGTCCCAGAAAGCATCTAATCACCAAAGAGTAGGTTCACACGCCCCATCAACCTACCAAGTCTAACAGCGACGGCTAACAAGTATACCAGAAAACATGGCACAACAGGGAGACAAGTTCACCCTGCTCGACGCAAGCATCTCGGAGCTCCAAGATGCGCTCTCTTCAGGATGGCTAAGCAGCGTCGACCTAGTTTCGCGCTACCTACGTCGCATCAGCGTTTACGACGCCAACGGACCAAAGCTCAGCGCCATTCCGATTATCAACCCAAATGTCTTCGACGAGGCGGCCGCTTCAGACGCCAGGCGCGCATCGGGCCTTCCGCCGCGTCTGTTGGAAGGCATCCCCTACCTTGTCAAAGATAGTATCAAGGTAAAGGGGATGACGGTTGCTAGCGGCTCGCCCGCGTTCGAGAAGCTAGTTGCTACCGAGGATGCGGCGTGCGTCCAGGTCCTGCGGGAAGCTGGTGCGGTGCTTCTGGGACGTACTAATATGCCGGCCATGGCATACGGAGGGATGCAGCGTGGATGCTACGGGCGTGCTGAGAGTCCCTACAACAGCGCATACCTGGCTGCAGCGTACGCATCCGGCTCGTCGAATGGATCCGCCGTCGCGACTGCGTCTAATATGTGTGCCTTCTCTCTCGGCTCTGAGACAGTTTCCTCCGGCCGCTCCCCGGCCTCAAACAATGCTGTCGTCGCCTACACGCCCTCAAAGGGCTTGCTTCCGCTACGCGGCGTGTGGCCACTCTATCCGACATGCGATGTCTTGGTGCCGCATACCCGCACCATGGCAGATCTGCTTCTCATCCTGGATGTCCTGGCTACCTCCGATCAGTCACCACGGGGCGACTTTTACAATGAGCAGACCATCGTCCAGCTGCCTTCAATCACCACCCTCCGACCACAGTCCTTTTCGATGCTACAAGACACTAACTCACTCCGCGGTAAGCGCATCGGCGTCCCATCAATGTATATCGGAGGCGATGATTCCTCCCTGCAGGCTGTGAGCCGAATTACCACCCGGCCCTCTATCATCAAGCTCTGGCAACAAGCCCGACGAGCCCTGGAAGCATGCGGTGCGGAGATTATCGAGACAGACGGTTTCCCGCTTGTGACAACCTATGAATCCAATGCGATGAACGGCCAGCTCGTCACCGTCGCAGGCTTACCGGATGGCTGGCCTGCCACAGAACGATGCGAGCTGGTCGCGCACGCATGGGATGACTTCCTAGCCACAAACGCACAAGAGGGCCTCCAGTCCCTAGCGCACGTTGATCCAGCCACGATCTTCCCACCGGCACCGGGTTCTTTGGCAGGAACGCCCGACGCAGCGAACGCATTGAAATGGGACGAGATGGTGCGGTATCCGTCTCGCAAGGCTCCATCCATCCATGAGATCCCTGGTATTCGGCAGGCTATCCAAGCCCTCGAGAACGCGCGAAAGGTGACACTGGAGCAATGGATGGATCGGCTCGGTCTAGATGCCGTGGTCTTCCCCGCGAATGGTGATGTTGGTGCTGCGAATGCGGATGTGGACGAGATAGCGTCGCGATTTGCGTGGAGTAATGGGGTCAAGTACTCGAATGGGAACAGACCTATTCGCCATCTCGGTGTGCCGACTATTTCTGTGCCGATGGGCGTCATGGAGGATACGGGGATGCCGGTGAATCTTACATTTGCGGGCAAGGCGTACGACGACAATAGTCTTCTGCGCTATGGATTTGCGTTTGAGGCTGCTACGAAGAATCGTGTGCTGCCGCCTCTAGTTCCGGGGCTGGACTCGGATTGTTTTGAGATTGGCGGGACTCCTCGGGTATTGCCAGCACAGAATCCTCCGGAACTGGTGGTTGAGTCCCAGGTGAAGAATATTCATGGGTCTGAAGTTGCTGTGCAGGTGCAGGGGTCTTTGAAGCTGGGTGGTGCGCAGTTAAAGAGGCTTTCGTGCTTTGTTAATGGGAAGCCTGTCCAAGTGGCTGTCGAGGGTGATGGATGGTCTCTCGTCACCTCGTACCCTATCTCGGAACGCGATGCGAGCTGGGAACGCTGGGCCAGTCCTGCGCTGAAGCAGACGATTGTGACTATTACGGCGCATACAGATGCTGGCCTTGCAACGGGCAAGTTGATTCTTCTGTAATATACTAGTTGGGGCATATTCCTCGGAACTTGCAATCAGTCTCTTGATAACTACGTATCTACCAGTCGTCCGAAGTTAAATTCTATGTGCGGCCTTGCATAATCCGTTCGTTAAAGCATGCTTGGAGTTTAACTGGGCACTAGGATACATTCATGCTTCTCATTGAATAGTGGCTCTCAATTCATCATCGTAAGATACAAAGCTAGGAGGAGCAGGAAATCCTGTCTCTATGCGGTCAGACGATAATGGAACCGAAGGCTTTGTAAGTATTCCTTGCGTGCGGAGTCACAATTGAGGCTCCGAAGAGGCTTCATGTCTTCCTGAAGCGACGGATTGTCTCTTAAGCAATTAGTGTATTACTATCGTGTTATTATTAGTAGTTAACTATTCAATTATAACATGCACCCACACTCCTAGAGCAAACCCATGGGAATATTCCAGTGCTCATCTGTACATACAACAATCTTTCACAATGGAAATATAGAATCAAAAGTTGTTGAATGTCCAGGACGATATGGGATAGATCATTTCATAAATGAGGGGTATATAGAAAACTTTTCCATAATTGCCCCGCTGGTCACGGCTTCAGTTGTATGTGTTAGATTTCTTTTTTTTTTTTTTTTTCGTTCTTCCATTCGAATTAAAATAAGCTGTCACTTGTTCCCTGATTCCTGTTCGCCTTCACTCAGCTTTGTTGCCCCATTTGTGGTATCTCCTGAAGGTGTTCCATGACCACTACCCTCTGCGTTTCCCATGCTTTGGCTGTCGATAATGTGGCCACTCTCTAGCCCATTGGCATTTAGGCTGAGGTGGCTCCTCTCGCCCTCGAAAAACAAGGCATAGGCCTCTTCGCCATGGACTGCATCATCACCAACAAGCAGTTTTTGGTCACTCATACGCAACGGTATGCGTAAGACATATTGAATGAAAACGCAGATCAACGTCGTCATGAACATATTGAGGCCAATGATGAATAGGGCACCCACAATCTGCAGCCATACCTGCCTCCCATTACCTTCGATCGCGCCACCGGGATTTGTAAGACCAAATGCTGCACATCCATCAATAGTAGCAAAGATACCTGTGAGGAAACCACCGAGGAATCCGGCGACCATATGTGTATGAACAACTCCCACTGGAACAGAAAATGGCTCAGTTAGGTTAACCATTCATGGGAATTTCAGCTCTGGGGCTACTTACTAACGTCATCAACCTTCTTCATCCATTTCATTCTCCCTAGAACGTTCATTGATATCCAAGGGATCGAACCTGAGCATACTCCAATAATGACAGCTCCCCACCCTGCGACAAAGCCAGCAGCGGGAGTGATTGCCACAAGACCAGTGATTTCGCCTTGAACGGCACCTATGACGGATGGCTTCTTGAAGAAGATAAAGTCCAGGGAAGTCCAAACGAGTAGACTCATGGCGGTACAGATATTGGTGTTGAGAACGGCAACGCCGGCGTCAGGACTTGCCGCATAGGGGTCACCTCCATTGAAACCATTCCAGCATACCCAGAGGATCCCCGCGCCGACCAGCATGAGAAGAATATTGTTAGGGAAGAAGGAGTCCTTATCGCGTTGCAAGCGTGGGCCTACCCAGTAGGCAGCGGTAAACCCTATTAATCAGACATGGTGTTAGAAAAAGCTTTAGTTTGAAGGTATTTGATATCTTTTCCCTGGCTTACCAGCAGTACCAGAGCTCAAATGGATGACGTATCCGCCTGAATAGTCTAGGACTCCCATCTTGCTGAGAAAGCCACCACCCCAAAGACTGCGAGAGTCATCAGTTAACACATTCCACACGCCATAACTTGTGCTAGATGACAAACCTAAATGCCCCAACGGTATAACTCAGTGTGATCCAAAGGGGCACAAACACCATCCATGCCAAAAGATTTATTCGCCCTAACAGGGATCCTCCCAAAATTATGACTGTGATAGCCGCGAAGACGAACTGGAAGTAGATCATAGTTGACAAGTTGAAATTTACTGTGATATCTGCGGCTGGTAAGGCCGCTTGTGCCAGGTTTTGTTGCATGGTTAACACGGGACCGGGAGTTCCAACCAACGGGAAGTTGCCCCATTGCTTGCCGAAAGCCATTTTGTATGCCCAAATAACCCAGCACACAAGTGTAGCGGAGAAAGCGTAGAATACCTGACCTTAGTCAGAATAGTGGTATCAATTGAAATGGTTGAGTAACGAGTGTACCATGAACGCGGAATTAATGGCCCATTTCCTATATAAATTGAACATCGTTAACTCGTGATAGTGAAGCATTGCACAAGAAAACTTACTTCTTAACAAACCCCGCATAGAGAATCGCAAGCCCCGGAATTGACTGAAGAGCGACTAGTGTACCAGCCGTTAACTGCCAGGCCTGGTCTCCCTTGTTGAGCCAGCTGTATGATGGTCAATAAAGTCACCTATAAGCATTTATACCCACATAGGTCAGAACGTACTCTGGAGCTGGATTGGTTAATGCTGTGGCAGACATTGTTGAGGAATAGAGAAATATTAATTCAGAGGCAATATATCCGGGAACAGCATGTAGTGCACTCGGGTAGAATATGCATCCACAGGCGTCGATCGTATGTATAAATACAGGACAGCTGTTGGAGCGACCAGAAATTGAAAATCGAGTTTGAGCCCTGCTCAGACCTTTTAAACGATCTAGATCGGACCATTAACTCCCTTTTATTTAGTCCTATGGCATTCTAAAATCGGCAGGCATTTCATCGGCTTTTTGCATCTTCTTAATCACTGTGCCAGCCACTCATGATCAGTCCATCTACATCACGCGCTCTCAAACATAGGGATTGCGAGAGATAAGACGAAAACATGTCTTCAGAGCCAATGGAAAGGGTACCCCGCGTAGATATCGATATCACTAATCACACTATGACACCTGAAAATTCCGAGCAACAGAATGGTGATTCGTCAAAATTGTGCTATCTCTGTCAATACCATTACTATTTTAGGTTTCTTATACCTTGGTAGTTACGACAAGCCTTATCAGTCCCCACCCGAGGTATCCCCCGCCTCTTCCCTCGCAAGCTTCTCAGAAAGCTTAACCCCCGGGTGTGGAGATAAGTCTCTCAGATCCTTCGTTACTGGTTCAAATCTGTCCCATAATTTCAAGGGGGCTTGGCTGATGACGCTGATAATCGACGTGCATTCCTGTAATCGCTTAGTCCTAAGTCGCTGTATTTACGCCATCCAAGCCTAGTCCGCAGCAGATCAATCAGCTTCCGTCGTCTTATCTTCCGTATGTTTGTATTTTGTATATCATATTTCTTGCCCTCTATTCTATCTGAGTTACAACGTGCGACAAAATCGATCAGATGATGGTAATTGAGTGCTATCGTGGCTGAGTCTACCAATCAGGCAACTGCCAAATCGGAAGAATGACTCCTCGCGAATAAAGTCACTCATATGTACCAATAAGGAAAGTGATAATGAAAGGATGGACTGTAGATGAAGTGTGGGGTGGTGGGGGGATCGGGCATATTAATCTGGGGTAATGCCAAGCAACGGTGGGTTCCTTTCTGATCCGTCCAAGTCTTGTGCACCATAAGTCCTACGTACCGAGAAAGACCCAGGCGCTAGGTGAATTCACAAGAGGTAAGTCCAGGGCCTACTGGCTTGGCAAAACTAAGGGAATAATAGATCCTCTAAACCACATTAGAGATTTGCTTGATACTAGCATGGTGCCACAATGTTCAGATTTTGGAAACGTCGTGGCTGGTTCAGGCTACAAGGTGCCGACCTTGACGGAGATATTGGGAGTGAAGATAGATGGAGACTACTTTCCGACAATATTTGTAATGGAGAGTATTTATCTTTGCCTCGAGCTAACATGAGATCTCGATCACGAGGGCGGGGTCCTGCAAAGGAACAGGGTGGATATATGAGCTTTGGTATTGGTGGTGCGGGCAATATTCGGAGGTAAATGACAGTGCTGCTTTTCTTAAGCACTCTTTGACAATATCGTCTGTCTTATATTTTCAGTCGGCTGATCTTTGGCTTCTTCACTTTACTAGGGTCTCACTTCGAAATGGACAATACTTTGAAGAGCCGGCGCCATCAACCTGAAATCGTGATGCAAAACAGTTCGACTGGTTCGCCTACTTGAATATGGAAAATTGATCCTCCCACTTCAGATGCAACAGTTAGATGTACTCTTTTACAGGAGCATACATTTGATATCATCTGGCGATTTCAAGTTCCATTTACAGTATTAGTGTAATTATTCAATTTATAACATGCACCACATCCCTAAGGTCAAGCCATGAGATATTCCCGTGCTCATCTATACATACAATAGCCTTTCACAATGGAGATATAGAACCAAAAATGTCAATGTTAGACATTATGATACGATATCTATCGGAACATCTGATATCTCTGTAATCTGTAGAAACTCTCCGTACATCATCTCCTCAATCATATCCAGGACAGCCCGGTGGAGGTACCTCTTTTTCAATTGCTCCAGGTAAAACTCCGCGTCTTCAATCGAGACTGAGGCTCTAGTGTCGTACATATCCGCGCTGGTACTGTCCAGCACCTTCTGATGTAAGAAGTCGAAGAGCTTCGTATATGGCAATGCATCGGCCCAGCGATTTGCAAAACAAGACAAGGTCGTTGCACAAGCGGGAATGGCCTCTAAAGAATAAGATTCAATGTGGGCTTTTTGCCGCGTTGTCGACCAGACAATGTAAAGGAGCATGATACCCGCCCGGAACTGGAACACGAGCTGAACCCAAAGTCAGTAATGATGGCTATTCTTGTAGGCCGGACTTCACTTACTGCAGACCAAGTATAGCACATAACATGGCCCTCTTCCTGCAAACGCCGGAAACTCAGACAAACCTCTACGATAGCAGACAGGATGTCTTCCGTGCCATCGTGCTCAAGGAAGTCTCTCTTCTCTTCCATGAGGATAAGAACACTATAATCATATAATTTCGCCATCCAGACGGGGTGAAGGTAGCCACATGGCCCAATTTCACTTCCATAACGCGGTATATCCTGCCGCCAGACATCCAACGCAGATTTGATAGAAGAACTGTGGTCATCATTTTCCAGCAAACAGCGGCGCGGCTGGTTTTCCCGTAATCTTCTAATATTTGCTTGGATCTTTCGTAGTCGGAATAAGTGGCTGAGGGCTGGGTTTGAGTTGTCTGGGGGCTGAACCGCGTCTCCCAAAATACGCATCTAGATGATGGTGTCAGTAGCTTCCTGGCAGCATCCTCAAGGGACACAACTAACATCGTCGTCCACAGCCCTATAGGCAGCTGAGACAGGCCTATCCCATCCAGAGACGACAATCTCATTCAGCATGTAGCAGGTAATAAACATGCTCTCCGCCAGAGACTCATCCGATCCGGACATGATGGTCGTGCTGTCCCGGCCCGCAGACGCATACTTGCGGATTTCGGCAATTGCAGCCGTGCAGAATGGCATCACTGAAGACACACTCGTGGTCATTTCTTCAATCGATGGAGAATGCATAGTATAAAGTATCATAAGAATGGATGCTTGGATCTGCAGGACGGTGGAGGATTGTGCGACGACATGCGGGTAGAATCTCATGGCGGAGGAGTAAAGTTCTTTTGAGCGAGTTGAGTGCGTGGGATCTCGCTGGAGAGTGCTGCAGAGGGATGCGCCAATGGCATAGACCATTTGCAGAAAGTATCCTCTCCAGTCTTCGTCTTGTCCCGTTGTTAACCAGTCGCTATGCCAGGACTTCCAGGCGCTTTCGTTCAGAAAAGGCCATTCTCGGTTGGAAATGCTGAAATAGAGGTTTGAGTAGAGCTCAAGCAGCCAAGGGTCGTCGCCGTTCATGGTGGGATACAATGATCCTGTGTCTATGTAAGGAAAGTCGATTGCAGTGTCATCTAGCAGCGAAAATGCGTCTGCAAATGGTGAGGAGTGTCGCGATCCTCGGCGGGGATAGGATTCAGGTATAAGGACCAATGCGCCGTCATTTTCAGAGTCACCATTCCAGCTGGGAGGAGCATCTGGAGATGTATTCCACGGTATGCGCAAAGCACTGACAGGTGATTGCGATTGCGAGCGCGAAACTTCACCATCCACCACCGCATCCGTCTGCACAGCCGCATCGCACATGGTCCCGACCGATCCCGCATCGAGTTCAGCCACTCTCTCTTCTAGCTGCTTGAGGTATTCCAACGGGATGGTGACACTCTCGCCCGTCAGGCGGGACTTGGCCGGCAGGCATTCCGCGCCTTTGCGGCGACATTCGCCACAGACGGGTTTGACGTGGTCACATTTTCGTTTGAGGCGGAAACAGCGGGCACAGGCTATATTTCTCGCGTTCTTGGAGGGTCGAGACATGCGAGGGTTGCTAGTGAGGCGGGTGAGCGGGGAGTTTACGGAACAAAGTTGGGGTATCCGAAGAAGAAGGTTCGGAACTAGCCCGAGATAGGATTGCGGTTCGCCCCACAGAAAGATAAGAAAGATATGGGGCACGACACATAATTAGTACAGGCCTCTGTTGAGTAAGTAGTTACAGGTAAGTGCAAAACCAGCTTCACCACTACGCACTCACATATTGATTATGGACTCCACTGCCAAGGCGCTATTTAGGAAAATGTGTGCATTTCAGTGGACCATGATTTGTACCCGTTGATTTATTGTCGGATCGCAGGATATCCGTACGCACTAGTACTGAGGGAACCAATTGAGATGATTGGTTGAAGAACTATCTAAGAGATCGCTGTTGAGAGTGTCTCATAGCCTCAGGGCCTAGTGTTGGCATGTTACGCCGCAGGTTACCCCATTTACCATACAAAACCTAAGAGAGAGTGGGTAGACGCTGAATCACCCTGTCCTAGTGGTAAAATACCCCTTCTTCAGCTCGACATCGACGGTAAGATTCATTTCACGTGATGAGATGGGGCTGAGGGACATCTGCCCCGCGTTCCTACCTCCCAGAGAGAAAGCAATCATCACCAGAAGAGTTCAGACCCTTCTCAGTCTTACCCCGCCGACGTTATTTTGTTGACACGCTGTCTTACTTTGGCATGTCCGATCCAAAAAACTACACTGTTGGCTGGATTTGCGCTATCACCACTGAATATGTTGCCGCCCAAGCCTTTCTCGATGAACAGCATGAAGGCCCGAAATACTTGCCGTCTCACAACGAAAACAAGTATACTCTAGGCAGAATAGGAATACACAATGTGGTTATTTCCGCTCTACCTTTGGATTCATACGGTACCTCCTCAGCAGCGCGAGTCGCCAGAGACATGTTACAAAGCTTCCCTAATGTTCGAATCTGTCTAATGGTCGGCATCGGTGGCGGAGCGCCGAGCCCAAAGAATGACATTCGACTTGGTGATATTGTGGTTAGCCTTCCCCTTAATGACCAAAGTAGCGTCATTCAGTACGATTTCGGTAAAACTATAGAAGGCCAAAGCTTCTATCCTACGAGCTTTCATGATCAGCCCCCTATCGTTCTCCGCGCAGCGGTTAACAGGCTTCAGGCCCAGTATGAGATAAAGGGTCATCAACTTAAAGAGTTAGTACGTCACGCTCTTAGGGAACAGCCACGGCTACGGAAGAGATACAAGCGACCAGATCGAGAAAGTGACCGACTTTACCAGAGTCAGGTCGTCCATCCACCTTCACCTGAAGTTGGATCAAATTGCACTAGAGATTGCGGAGATGATTCAACTAGCTTAGTCTTGCGATATCCACGCTCTGAGGGTGAAGACAACCCGGCGATTCACTATGGTTTAATCGCATCTGCCAATCAGCTAATAAAGGATGCTCTGATCCGCGATAAACTTGCTGCGGAAATGGGTGTCTTGTGCTTTGAAATGGAAGCGGCTGGGCTAATGAAACATTTCCCATGCCTTGTGATCCGCGGTATCTGCGACTACTCCGATTCACACAAGAATAAAGAATGGCAAGGGTATGCGGCAATCGTCGCAGCAGCATATGCTAAGGATCTTCTATGCGAAATTGCTCCTCAACAACTAGAGCGAGAAGAGAGGATTATAGAGATCATTAGGCCACGTGTCGACCTTATGGCTCGAACTACAGATCGACTCGATCAGAATTTAGCCTTTGATAAACTGCCCGATGAACTGCCCCTTGCAAGTGGAGCCGAGTATGGCTCATACCTGGACCAAAATGAAGCCGAGTGTCTTCCGGGTACGAGAACCGAGCTCCTTCAACAGATAGAAGAATGGGTTTCCTCACCAGGCGGAAAGTGCCTATTTTGGTTAAATGGGATGGCTGGAACAGGGAAATCCACAATATCTCGGACTGTGGCAAAGTTGCTCAAGGAAACCAATCAACTAGGAGCAAGCTTTTTCTTCAAAGGGGGTGAAGGTGATCGAGGGAATGCCACAAAACTGTTCCCGACACTCGTAAGGCAACTAGTGCTCAAGTGCCCTGGGCTGATTACTGGCGTCCGGAAGACGCTCAGTGACGATCCTGACGTTGCCTCAAAATCGCTTAGCGAGCAGTTTGACAAATTACTCCTTCAACCGCTTCTCAATCTTGACCAATTCAGCCAGCAACCTCAAATCGCTGTGATTGTGATTGACGCTTTGGATGAATGCAAACATGATGAAGATGTACTAAACATAATCCGGCTACTGCCTTTGTTACAGAAGGCACGCGTTGTTCGGCTACGAGTATTCTTGACAAGCAGACCTGAGCTGCCAATTCGCCTCGGATTTCAGAACATCGCGAATAATGATTATCAGGGCCTAACTTTCCATGAGATCTCCAAGAAAGCGATGGAAAATGATATATCTTTATTCCTAAAGGACCGATTTGCGAAGATCCGACTCGAGAGACATATTTCTCGGGACTGGCCTGGAAACAATGTTATTCACTCAATTATAACATTCTCGGTTCCGTCATTCATTTGCGCCGTTCTTGTGTGCCGTTTCCTCGAGAATCCTCATATTGACCCCGTGGATAGCCTTACCAAGATCCTTCCACAGCTCACTGAGGAGTCTAAGCAGCGTGGAACGTATAGTCAGATTTTAAATCGACTACTCAACAAACGCATTGAGTGTGAAAGGCAGGAGAGTGGAGACTGCGAGACTGAATATGATAACGAGAACTCAGCGTACAACCCAAGTGACATCGAAAGCATCTTCTCTACAGAATCGTTTCAGTCTTCTCAATCATCCCAGGGCGAAATCACCTCCATCGCTATATCTGAGCTAACCAATTTACTTCTGAATGACGACGAGTTGAAGCTTCTATATCCAATAGCCATCTCGAAAGTTGGCCCTGATAGATTTCAAAGAAACTTTGCCCGGATCCTAAGAAATTATGGGCGACGCTTAAATGGCGAAGCATCAAATGAAATTCAACGTCAAGCGGCACAATTTGTTCGGCTGTCTGCGCGGCAGACATCAGCTCAACTTCGCATAGCGCTCATGCAAGGTAGCAGCGGACTTCTTATAGGAAAGAAACTGGTATCGAAGTCGGCTCAAGTCAACGCGTGGATAGCGTCACAAACGGGGGGTCGTCCGTATTCGAATGCGGATGCCAACGAGTCGTCAACGGACAGCGATTCGACTAGTTCAGGAAACGGTCATGAAAGCTCTCTTGGGACCCTTGAAGAGGTGAAAGTGTTTATGGTATCAACAAAAGCATTTCCCGGGCTGCGCCAAGAATTCCGGGAATGGCTAGAAGTCAAACGGAAGGATAGCCGCAAGGGTTTGAATGAGAAGATTGAGGAGCCTCTTGCAGTCCACAAAATCGACAGTACCTCAAACCTGAACATCGCACAAGGTTAGATGTCGATGTCGGAACGTCTGCTCTTTATTTTCGTTAATATTATTTTAGATTGCGGATTTGACAATACTGCTGAACCTGGGCCGTTAGAAATGTATTCTGTCGGCTCTACTCAGCTTCTGAAAAGTGGTAACAGCTCCATGGAGAAATTTGCGACCGAATCTACAGATACAGGTAAAACGACCAGATTGTCGTCCTGGTGGCTTCGGTTTATGAACATCTTCGCCCCACCAGCAGCTGGTTACCAACGAATTTCGTATATATGCGTGAGTTCTGTTGCTTTTACAGTTGAGACAGCGTTGATATGTTCCAGGGCTGTGGAGAATTTTCATACCTCGATGTTAGAGAGCTATCCGTGGGTGGAATTGAGAGGTTCCGGCGAAAACTCCTTGATAGCGTCGCTGCCGTTAACACTACACCACATATTTCATCTAGTTCGAGTCGTTTAGAACCTCCGCCTCAAGCGCATTTGAATCCCAGCTTGAGTTCAAGCATGGCCAGCCAAAATATTCTAAACATGGAGGCCCTACATCATGGCTCATCTCCGTCCATTCAGACTGAAGATACCCAGACTTGCTGCACGACATCCCAGGATCAGGATTCTCAATTCGTTCTCTTGTGCATGAACACAAAAGGCTCAACTGTCTTGGTCCATGTCGAAGTGAGTTCTCTAACCAATGACCAATATTTTTTTCAGCAAATACATCAAGAATACCAGACACTTTGTCGTGAGCACGGGTTCAGGCTTTCAATGATCGTTCCATTGCGCGCTTGCAACTTCCTTCGCGCACTTTCAATGTGGTTACCACGACTCCCATCATTAGCGAAGCTCTTTCATTTTCCTTCGACACTCTTCCCTAGCCTCCCTGAAATGCATATCCTCAAAGTCGAATCTGGAGATTTTGTCCGAGTACGTGTATAACATTTCTGCAGTCGGTACTTATAAAGATCGAGCGATGGATGAGCTCATTCTCTCTCTCTCACACAGTTTTCACTGATCCCTATTGGAATGTCGTGTTGTCCTTCATGGTTCAAGATGAGAGAATTTCCCCCAGAAGTTGAGGTCAGGACAAGAAGATATCTCTACGAACCAGTACCAATGGAAGACGTTGAATTGTTCCGTATTCCGTTGCGACACCTGCTAAAACCGGGACCCCACACTGACAGGTTTTGGACGACTATGATTCCCAAAAAACTCCGAGACCCATTGGTCCGACTACCCGGAAATAACCGGCATGTCATCGGATGGGGCATCCGTATGAATGAGAGTCTGAATTGGGTCTTCATTTTGCCATCGATACTCGTGATTCTCTTGGCAGTTGGTGTCAGCGTATTCGTCTACGCAGCAGTCACGTCAGATAACTCGTCAGCTTTTGGCCTGGGAGCGTTCTTGGTGGCAATATTTACAGTTTATCTTTCATATCAATATTTTGCGTGGAAAGATGACATTTAGTTAATAGAAGTGGATATTCGGAATGGATCTATAAACGAAAATTGCTTTCAAGCTAGCGGCCTCGCAAGGGAGGAACACAAAGAATGAAAAAGCGTGAATCGGTGAAGCTAGGCTTGCACTTAACCTTACTAGATCTTCATTCTTGGATACAATACACTATTGCATTTTGACTGGGAATGATAAGATAAAATGTATAAAAAATACCTTGGTCCACTGAGCGGCACTTAATTTCTGGACTAGCAGTGGACCCCGGAATTAGAACAGTGTAAAACGGTGAAGCTGGTTTTGCACTTCCCTGCATAGACCAGAGGATAACTAAACTGACGCCGGTACCCGTAATAGTAAGACGTGCTCAAATCAACCCCGTTTCAAGCATGATCAAACTCTTAGATCCCGGCATAGAATCAACGAATCCACTTCTGACCGGAAACATCAAACCCAATAGTCGCAGCCTCGACATGGAGCATCTTGAGCATGAACGCCATTGTAAATTCCTATCCCGGCATCAATTAGCAACGACTCCATCTCCAAGTAACCAAAAGATTACTGACCTCATCATCCTGGACAGAGTCCTGCTTCTCCGAAACCCCCTTCTGCGGAGAATCTACATCCATATCTCCATCATACTCCATATCTCCACTGTAGCTGTCCCCTTCACCGCCGTCCTCATTCTTCTGCTGCTCCGAATCATCCCACGGTGCATTATCACGCTTCGAGCGCTCTTGCCAGACACCTAGACCACCCATACGCGCGACGCGGTCCCGAGCACCAAGGAAGACCTCATCGGCTGCTTCCTGGCTGATGAAACGCCATTTGAAGATCAAAGCTTCCAAATCTGCGCCTTTGCTTGAGGACTCAATCCGTAGAGCCTGGCGTGCGGTATCGATTTCAGAGCGGAGAGATCCGATGCGAGTCCGGAGAGTGCGCTGTTTCTTCTGTAGCTCGAGGACTTTGGGGTCTGTGAGAGGGGATGTGGTGGGTGTGCTAAGGGTCATGATTGCGGGCTTGCGTTTGCGAATAGGGGAGCCGGATGCTGGAAGGGATGATTTGAGGATCGGGCTTGAATTACCTGGCGTGGGAGCTGGATTCAAGAGTGATTCGTTCTTGTGCTTGGTTGCCTCGGGTGTAGTTGGCTCTGTCGTTGAGGGAACGTTCTCGCTGGATGCGGTCGTTCGGCGGCGCAGAGGTGATTTGAATGGCTTGGAGAGCGTAGATGCTGCGTCCAGGCGACGGCGCTTTTGCGTACGGTGCGTGTCGGGGTCAGACATGATGAGTACGATGAACGGTCAGTTGGGGGTGGGTGTGTGTTGGGTGCAAATGGTGGGAGACGAAGCCATGGGAAGAGATGGGATGGATCCTCGCAAAGTGGCCACCCTCACCACGCCTTCACTATACTACGGGCCGGAGGAGAGAACAAGCAAGACAGTATCATATCTACAATTGTATACCAAATGACAGGCGACTCCAAAATGCAATACACGACTCACTATACATCAATGGCCCACTCCACCAGCAACCCACTGGCGAAATTCCGGGTCTTCAGGCCGAGGGAACACGCCTCGGTCGTTCTGGTTCGCGTTCGCGTTGTTGTCGTTCTGGTTCTGGGCCTGGTTGCGCCGCTGCTGCTGCTGTCGCATGTAGACAAGCACCATGAGAACCGCCGCCAGTCCGACAATCAGTAAACCCTCAAGCATGCCCTCGTCGATATCAAAATCCAGGTCATCGTAGTATCCATCCTCGTGACGACTATCCGACTCCAGTGGACGCGAACCCGGGAAGTCTTCATCTTCTGCGGCTTGCTGATCGTAGAGATCACCATAGTACTCCTCTGCGTCGTTTTCGATGAAGGTTGTAATCCATTCCTTGAAGGTTCGTCGCGGTCTTTGGTCTGGCACTGCTATCAGTATGGAGATCCAAAGAAGGGACTAGTTTTACTTACTCTCGTCCTCACGGATAGGGTTGATGTCTCCATTCGTAATGCGATTCCAGTATCCTCGGATGCGAAGCTTGAGCAGACTAAGCTTCACGGGCAGATAGGCTTCGCGATTCGTCTCCAACGCTAAGTCGTAGTAACGCTTGGCCATGTAGAAATCCTGGTCAACAGCGACGCCGTTCTCGTGCATCCAGCCCAGATTCCAGTAAGCTTGTGCGCTGTGATGGGCTTCCGCGGCATTGTGATAGCAGGTAGAGGCCTTGTCTGCGTCGGCAGTAATGCCGTTGCCAGACAGGTAATAGTCACCCATCTTGACCAACGAGTCGATGTTGGATTGCTTCGCAGACCGAGTCCAGTAGATCAGCGCGAGCGCTGCGTTGTGGAGCAATGATGACCGCGTCTTCTGGGCCCAAGGTAGGATCGAGCTCAGCGACAGCAGGGACCGCTGCTCATCAAGGAGATGTGCCACATTGGCCTGCGCATGCTCGTATCCTTGCTCCGCGGCCATCATGGCCGGAATGAGAGCGCCTTCCTTGTCGCCGGCCTCGTAAGCAGCATTCGACTCTTGAAAGGACGAGTGAAGAAGCTCGGCCCGTTCGGCGACGATCTTGTAATAGGCTGCGGCCACGCCGCAGTGTCGCTGCCTCCCGATGCCAAGGTTTGACATCTCCGCGAGGTAGTAGAAGGCCTCCATCGAGCCCCAAGTGGCAGCCAACTCGAAATAGCGCGCTGCGGTGGCCACATCCCCTTGGTCTAAGAAGAGCGCACCCAGGCGGGTCTCGGCCGCGGGAAGGTCCTGCTCTGCTGCCGCTTTGAAATAATTCGCCGCTTTAAATGCGTCCTGTGGAACTCCATATCCGTGGAGATACATTAGTCCCATCTCGTGCTGGCACAGGGCATCTCCGTTCACCACGCCACGCTTGAACCAGGATAGGGCAGTGGTGAAGCTCTGGTCCACACCCTCTCCACGAAGGTACATCAGACCAATATAACCCGCCGCCTTAGCAGCCAGCTTATCGAGGCCAGCCTGATGGTTCGGATTGACAGACCCGTCTTTGTTCCAGTACTTCTTAGCCACGGTCTTGAAATACCGCATGGCTAGACGGAAATTGCGAGGCAAGCCACGTGCGCCGTCATAATTCATCTTCCCCAGACCAAAGGTGGCCTTCAGCTCACCCTTACGCGACATGAGGTCGTAAAATTCCAGCACATCTTCCAGACTGGCTTCGGTGGACTGGGACGCGTCCCGCGCATTTCGCCCAGAGCTCGAAACGCTGGCGCCTTCGCCGTAGACACCGCCCTCGTCATCGGCCCAACGATAGGACTCTCTACCCATGGAGTGGCCGCCTGGTGGACCAGACCGGTAGTACTCGATTGCCTTGTCCGCCACCTTTTTGTAGTAATGGAGCGCGTGATCGCAGTCCTTGGGAGTGCCGATACCTGCGTGGTAGCGATAACCCAGCGTCATCTCCGAGCGTGTGTTGCCGCCTTCTGCTGCAAACACATGGTACATCAGCGCCTTGGCCTGGTCTCGTTCGACCGCGTTTCCGACGCCCGTCGCGTACATGAATCCGACCATGTACTGAGCCGTGGTATTCCCGTTCAGCCACGCCAGATCATTATACCAGTGGAAGGCTTCATGGAAGTCGCGTGGGTAGGTGAAGTTGCCATGGAAGTTCATCTCCGCCAGCAGGAACATTGCGTCCGGATCAGCATCCTCGTCAGCGGCCTTCTTCAACTCCTCCACCGCTCGCGCGACATCGGGCTGGACCTTGCGACTGGCCTTATCGGGTGATGGGCCGTTTAGAAATAGTATGCGAAATGCTTGACGGCCGTAATGTAGGGCATTGCCGAGTAGGCCGGTCGGCTTTTCGGTTCTGACAGTTGTGACTTTTGCAGCTCGGAGGGTTTTCCACGCGTTCTCGACTCGTGCTGTAGATGAAAAATAAAAGTATCAGCAAACACCCTACCAGTGACAATCTTGACCGGGTCTACTCACGGCTAATGGGGCGAGCTTGATGAGCCTCGCCGAGCGGAGACTGGGAAACAAGTTGATCGCCATTGTCGACGATAGCGGTCGTAGTAAATTCATCTGCTGGAAGCTGGCTTGACCCAGCTGCTATGGTCTGTGATAGCACTGAAAAGGGGTCAGTGCCTGTCGCGATAGCAGATGGCGCGGAGAGATGATCTTACGTAGGGCCAGCGGCAGGAAGTGAGAAAACGGTGTTCTCATGATGGCTGCGATATGTCAGAGTGTAGCAGCTGTAAGAGGCGCATTGCGACTCCCGAGAGCTCAAAAAGGAGGGTCAGAGCGGGACAGCTGGCATGACGAGGAAAGGTGTTGGGAGCCGTTGCCCGTGATGTAGAACGAACGGCCACTTGGCTCGACGGAGCTTCATTTCGCCGATCTTGGCCCGCCTCAACAGTACAACTATAAGAACCACACAAGACTACTACTTGCATACAGCGATATCTACCGGGCAATCAATAACATGGAAGGCGATAAAAAAAATTAACGTTCTTTTATTCTACTCCGTTGAGCGAATCTGTGTACAGAACTGAGGAAATCACTGAAAATACACTCAACCCCGATGCGCTCTCCATGCAAAAATCATAGGCCAGCAGTGGCAGAAGTCCCCCTCGATCAGTCTTGGGGGAAGCCCGCACCGCAGACCCTGGAAAGGGAAGGGGTTAACACAAGTCGTTCGCAATTTCGGAAAATGGGTACAACTGAAACTCAAAGGGTGCATCTCGGGGCGGAAATAATAAAAAGTAAAGGCTGAAGCTGTGCCAGAAAAACAGATACAATCGAATGGGTGATAGACCCCCAGATCGTGAGAGAAAGATGACCATCCAATTCCGAGATGTCGAGCGCAAGATGTTTTTTGTGGTTTGTCAAAACGCGGGTATGATAGTACAATGGTACAGCACGAGCCGGGGGCTGGCTAGCCATGTCTGGCCCTGCTTCACTGACGCGGCGACCTGTGTGGCTGTTAGAAAATACTTTCTGTCTGGTATTCAGCGACAAGAAAACTTACGTAGGACTGTAAGCCGGAGAGGTCGGGCTGTATCCCGGAGACGTCGGCGAACCAGAAAAGTTGGGAGAAGTAGGCGAGTAAGACTGGGGGCTCGTAGGAGACCAACCAGGAGAGGTTGGCGTGTACTTGGGAGAAGTAGGGGAGGTAGGGGACAGTCCGCGGCCAGCACCACCAATCGCAGGACTGGTGGGACTGTAGCTGGGGGACGTCGGGCTGAAAGCTGGCGAGGTCGGGCTAAAGCTGGGCGACGTAGGACTGTAGTTGGGCGAAGTGGGCGAGAACCCAGGCGACGTCGGAGAGTACGACGGCGAAGTGGGCGACGCCTGGCCATAGGCTGGCGAAGTGGGCGAGTAGGCCGGGGACGTCGGCGCAAACGACGGGCTGGCAGGCGAGAACCCAGGCGAAGTCATGAAGCGCGGGCTCGTCATGCCCATTCCAGGAGAAGTCGGGGAGTAGCTCGACGAAGGAGAGTAGCCTGGCGAAGTAGGGCTGGTGTTGAACGGGCTGCTCGGAGAATAGCCGCCAGGGCTGCGAGCACCCGGGCTGAATCCACCGAAGCCACCAGAAGGCTGATAGTCGGTGAATCCACCAGGAGCCTGAGACTCGGCCTGCCGGATGGGCGAGAAGCTGGCATCCGGGTCGCCATCGGCCATGTAGGGAGTGCTTGCCATGGGCGAAGCAGAGTCGTACTGAGTGGCAGCACCATCGGGAATGATGGCATCCTTGGCACCGATCGCTCCCATGAGACCGAAGCGTGCGTTGTTCGAGACAACCGTGTTGAGCAGAGTCTGGTCCAAATAAACATCGAACTCTCCCGTTCCAGCGGGCGCCATTTGACCAAGGATCAGGTTCTCCGACACACCACGGCAGTCGTCGAGCTCTCCGAAAGCGGCAGCCTCCAAGAGAATCTCCACAGTCTCTTCGAACGAGCAGCGCATCAATGCACCATTGTCTGCGCGGTTGATACCATGACGAGTAACAGGGGTCAGGTAGCCGCGCACGGTCATCACATCGACCAAAAGGGCCAAGTGACGATGGTTGACATAGGAACCGTCAAAGGCAAGCACCTGGGTCAACTCCCGAAGCACGGCGGTACGGGCAGCCTCGATACCAAACACTTCAAAGATCTCAATGAACTGGTTGGAGTATGTGCGCGTGGAATCCACACCAGGGATCGCAAGCACCGCACCCAGAGATGAACCACTGGTCTCGAGGACCCATTCCTTGCAAAGGGGATCGGATTTGCTCGCGATAAGCGTACCGTCCTCCAGAACGCGCACCTTGCTCTTCTCATTGATGAAGGCACGCTCAACACCAGGAACACCACGAAGGGTCAAAGTATCGAGAAGGTGCTGCTCAAGCTTCTTGAGGGTGACGTCGTATTCGACATCATCGTCTTCGTCGTCCTTGTAGTCCTGGATCTGACGAATACGAATAACCTGCTCATCAGCGTTGTTGTCACTGAAGATGACGGCGATATCCCTCGGGTAAGCCTGCTTGATCTTGGTGGCAACGTCTTGCACCGTAAGACCCTTGTCAAGCAGTTTGGGGCGGCTAAGGACGATACGAAGTAACCACCTGGACTGCTGCGATGCATTATCGGCAGCGTCCTCGGGAATGATGAAGTATGACTCGACCATATCCCGATCGTTTTCGATGACAGTGGTCTGAATGTCGGGATCGTAGTAGATCTCCGTGGCCTGCGTGACAGAGCGCAAACTAGTGTGCTCGACGACGCTGCGCAGTTGCTTCGCACCCTCCTTATCATAGGTCTTCGCACCTTGCTGGTAAACAGTCATGGACGGGGTCTTGATGTTCGTGGCGACGTTGAGAATTTCCTTGAGACGCGGCACACCAAGCGTGACGTTCTTGGACGAGACACCAGCAAAGTGGAAGGTGTTGAGAGTCATCTGAGTAGCGGGCTCACCAATCGACTGAGCTGCAAGGACACCGACCATTTCACCAGGGTTAGCCCCCGCACGAGCGAAGCGGTTCTCAACAGCACCAAGCACGTGCTGGAAAGCAAGCTTGTTGAGAGAGTACTCGGTAACCAGTCGCCGGAAGGCAAGTCGGCTGCGAAGTTGCGCCTTGAACAGAAGAGTCGCATTATCCTGGGCTTCACGCGAGATTTCGTCGTTACCACGGACAACCAGCAAACGATCAAGCAGAGCCTGGACCTGAGGAATAACCTCGGCGGGATGCAGGTCACTGATGGTGCCTTCGCGGATTCGGAAAGTCGAGCGGGCCATCTCCAGGATTCTCTGGATGTTGATCGGGAGCTGCATCATTTCTTCGTCCTCCTTGGCCACGGTGCGTAGGAACGCACGGTCCTTAAGGAGCGCCTCCCATTCTTCGTCAAGGTATTTCTGAACCTCAATGTCGCCCGCAATTTCGGTCGACTGCTCCAACACCTCCGGGCCGAGAGATCGCTCCGGATCCATGACATCCACGCGGAAGCGGTCTCTGAACTTTTCATCGGAGCATCGGATAACGTCGACACGCTGGTTCTCAATGTGCGCGCCATCCAGACCATCTTCACCGTAGATGAACTGAATGACATCACCCAGGGAGTTGCGCACGGTTCCGTCGTATTTAACCATGACTTCTTCGAGGGCCTTGACCAGCTTACGCTGAATGTAACCAGTCTCGGCTGTCTTGACAGCTGTATCGATGAGACCTTCTCGACCAGCCATAGCGTGGAAGAAGAATTCGGTCGGGGTCAGACCACGGAGATACGAGTTCTCGACGAAACCACGGGACTCGGGCGAGTAGTCGTCCTTGGTGAAGTGCGGTAGAGTGCGGTACTTGAACCCGAAGGGAATACGCTTGCCCTCCACGGACTGTTGTCCGACCACGGCAGTCATCTGTGAGATGTTGATGGTGGAACCCTTGGAACCGGAGCGCGCCATCTGAATGCCATTGTTCAGATCCTTCAAACTCTTCTCGGTCGCAGCACCAGCTTCATCACGGGCATTGTTCAGAGCACGCGAGACCTTGCTCTCGAAAGTCTCACGCACGTTCATACCAGGCAGAGCCTCCAAGGTATTTTCAGTCGCACTGGCAGTGATCGACTCGACTTCCTTCTTCCGCTCACGCACAGCCTCCTCGATCTTTTGGATCGTGTTGTAGTCGGGGATCGTATCACCGATACCGATACTGAAACCGTTGTGCAACAGCCAGTAGTTGACGATAGTCTGTGTGCCGTTGAAGAAGTTGACAGCAGTGTCCGGTCCGTACTCATTGAAGATGGTGTGGATGACACCTCCGCCGCTCGCGCCGACCGTCTTCTTGGAAAGCATTCCGTACATCAGCTGGCCACCGTGAATAAGGAGGCCACCGTCAGTAAGCGGACTGAACTTCTCGGAGAGGGGAGAGTTGTCCTTTTCGACACGCAGCAAGTTGAGACCAGACGGGAATGCCATGCTGATCATCTGCTTTCCAGTCCACCGCGGACGCGGTTTCAGAATAGCGGGTGGAGGGATGACGCCATCCCAATCCGGAACCCACAGCATGATGTTCATGACCTGTTCCTTAGAAAGGAAGGTATCGCGGCGGCAGATCTTGTAGACACCGCAGAGGGTATCCTGCACAATACCCATGAGAGGACCATTCCGTTGAGGGGACACGATGTTCTTGGGAACCAAGGCGAGCTCGGAAAGCTCTGCACGAGACTCCTCGCCCTGCGGGACGTGCAAGTTCATTTCATCACCATCGAAATCAGCGTTGTAAGGGGAAGTGACGGAAAGATTCATTCGGAACGTGGAGAACGGCATGACGCGGACACGGTGGCCCATCATGGATTCCTTGTGAAGCGAAGGTTGACGGTTGAACAGAATCACATCCCCGTCATCGAGGTGGCGTTCGACTTTCCAGCCATACAGCAGTTGCTGGGTACCGGCACGCTTCGCATGACGAAGGTCAATGCGTTCGCCGTTATCCCGAACAATGTACCTGGCACCAGGGTGCAAGTTGGGTCCGTTGGAAACCAGCCACTGCAGCTTCTCGATGTTGTACGGAGTCACCACCTCCGGATATGTCAGGATTTTGGCAGTCGAGATGGGCACACCGACCTCGTCCAGCGAAAGATTCGGGTCACCAGTGATGACAGTACGCGCTGAGAAGTCCACACGCTTGCCCATCAAGTTCTGGCGCAGACGACCTTCCTTACCCTTGAGACGGCTACGCAGAGCCTTGA